AAAAAAGAAAAAGATATATGTATGATATATAGATACATAGATACATAGATATATAGATATATATCTATATATAGATATATAGATATATAGATATATAGATATATAGATATATAGATATATAGATATATAGATATAACTTGTGGGGATGGTCCCAAATCTAAGCCCCCCAGTACTTCAGGTTGGAAACTGTATGGTTGTGGTGTCACTGCAGTAATGCTGCTCTGGGAAGGGCACGGTGCTGCCTCTTCCCTCCCTGTGCCCCTGCTGTGCTCTGCAGCCCAGCGCTCGCACTCTGAGCATGAAATTGAGGGAGCAGGAATGGCTGAGGGTTTGTTTTGCTCCTCACATGGAGTTACATATATCCAGAGCACAACATGAAAGCTCAGCTCTGCTACTGTGCTGCTGCCGTAGGTGTTCGGCAAGTTTGGCTGCTTTGTAATGGGATAATGAGAGTTGGGAAGAAATACGCAAACAAGTAATTAAAGCAACCAAATAGATTAAAATCATAAGCTTGAAGTGCTTTTTTCCCCCCTCTTTTCTTATTTTTTTTTCTTTCTTTTTTACCCCCTTTCTTTTTGTGTTTTGTTTCACATTTGCACTATGCCAGGTTCTCAAACGGGGTAAATTGCAGGAGCTTAGGAGAAATTGGTGTGACAGGCAGCATAGCTGAAGACTGTAACTCAGAACTGCTCTCCCTGGAGCAGCTGCTCAGGATGCCAGGGACACAATACTTTTCCTGTCTGAGAAACAAAACAATAAGGCTCAAACACATGGCTTCTGGAAACACAGGCAAACTTCTTACACATTGAATGTGCTGAAACTATAAACTAGGTTTTAAGAGGGTTGAACAGATTTCAAGTAAAAAGTACTTTCAGGAATTTCAGAGAAGGCTCATAGCTGTCTTTATCATATAAATTTTGTATTATAAAATTTCAGAAGTGTTTCTGTTGCACACACACATATATAAAACATGGGGGTTTTATGTTATGAATCACATCATTCTGCATAACTGTATAGTTGTGAATTCTGTAGCAGTAATGTATTTGGGATTATTTGCAATATATAACCTATATAATGAGATAAATTTGCAGCTACAGATTTCTTATGTATTTATAAACAGTTTCTTGCATGTTTATAAGCCTGTAAGCTCTGATTTGTTTTAACTATTGAGTTATAGACAATTTATCTCCAGTGTATGACTCCATTCCTCCCAGGCCCCTTGAGAGTTGTGTCTGTTTGTCTGTTTGCCTGCACATGAAAAGCTATGGCAAAGCCAAAACAGCTCTACCATGCTAATAAAAATAAGGCAGAGGAAAGAGAGAAGAAAGAGGATGAGTAGGCATAAGTCACTAAATACTAGCAGGGCTCTCATTTTGCAAAGGGAAGTCAGTGGAAATCTTTGGTGCTGACTTACAGACACCTGGGGAGCATGGAGGGAAGCAAAGCAGAAACTGGGCTCCCTTTGGTCTTAAAAGAGATGATTTTAACTCCTTTTGCATGCCCCTGCTGGGAAAGGAAAGTTTAGACAAATACAACTAACAAGCAAAACAACTGAATAAATACAAAGTGGTCAAACAAGTTGTATTTCACATTTTTTTTCAGTTTTCTTAGAGGGTGTGTAGAGTAACCAGGGACAGACTGCAGTGTGGGGAGGGATTTGATGCTTTGAAAAGAGGAAATTCCCCTCTCCCAGCAAAGGAAACGTGCTACGCCTCAGAAGGCTCAAGGAGTGCTTGGCTGCCGTGTGCAGGAAGAGAAAAACATTTCATTTTGAACTTGAAAGCAAAACTGCGTTCCAAATGAACAGCAGAGCAGCAGCGTCACTGGCAAAGTTTGCATTTTGGGTGACCTGCACAGTTCCTTCACTGAAATGTAAATATGTAGGCAAGAAAGGATATACAGGAAGGCTTTTCCCCAAGGTTTTCCTTTGAAGGAATGAGAGAAGCCTCCCCTGACTTTGTGCATTTATGAAACAGACCTTTCTGAAGTGAGGGCTGCAGGGAAAGGGGGGAACTACGAGAGATGCTGGATCAATAGCTGTCTACAAACTGGCATGAGTGGTCTGAATATTACGGTGTTTCTGAAAAACATATTTTCAAGCCAAGTGATGCTGATTTATGCACAGAAAAAAAACCTGAAACAACTCTATGTCAAACTTGAAAATGCTGTAAAACTCCAGCTTTGAAGCAAGGCTTGAGGATTCAGGGATGATTTCCTGATTTCTGTTTAGCCTTGCCTGCTGCAGCCTGCAAAAGCAGTCCTAGCTTTTTTGGCCATGAGGAGCTGCTCCACAATTCCACCTGGATTTCATCTTTTTCTCCCTCCTTTGGGTGAAAGCTCACGTGGTGTCTCAGTGCTGAAGTGACAGGTGAAGATGGGGTGGCTGCTGCACCTCCACAGAGCCTGAGCTCAGCCAGGCCAGGAAATGTGCAGCTACCACAGCTTCACCAAAGGCTGGTGCAATGTCGGTAGAGGTTGTAACTGGGGGAAATGTGCTCTGAGAAACGTCATTATATATAGCAGAGAGGAAGGGAACGGAGAAGTAACCAAGTGAGCTGGGTATCTTTCGATTGCTGTGGTTTTCAGCCCTGCCTGCCCCATCGCCTTTGCACCACAAGGCCCTCCTGCCATGTGCCTTCACCAGGGCTGTGTAAGACAAGTAGCACCAGTGCTTTACAGGAATAACCTCTGAGCCACACAACAGTGGATTTTTCTTCATGAAACAAGTGAGAAAAAGGGTAAATAACTGCAGTGCAGCACAATGTTATGCACAGTTAAGATCTGTGAGTGTTCCAGCAGGTGGACTTGGGCACCACCGCAGGCCTGGCTGTTGTAGAAGGAAGGATCCATCCAGACCAGGTCAGCCAGAGCCATTTTGAAGGGAAAGCACAATTTAAAAGTAAAGGCAGTGAGTCATGTTGCCTGTTGGCACAAATGCAAAGTACTTAGGAGCAGGAAGTGTCTTTGTTTTTGCGCAGGGGAGTGGGCTCAGGTCAGGTTATCACTGAGGTGCACTTCTGGCTAGCAAAATAAGGTCTTGCCCCAGCAGCCTGACCATCCTACCTGGCAGGGGGAAACGATTTCATGCAGTTCAGTATCAGGCACCCAAGATTTTGCTTTTTGTATTTAACGCTGTATTTAACTACACTGAATCTTAAACCAGCATCCTGCCACCTACTGCTCATGACAATGCCAGATGTGTGTGCACAGCAGTCTCATTTTGGCCTCAGAAACCTCATCAAAGCTCTCTGGGACTGGTGGACTGGTCAGCTCTGTACAGGTTGGAAAAAATATCCTGTGAGCCATCTGAATTTCCCTGCTGGGACTCTCAGTCAGTGTAATGATGTCTGCAGCACCACCAGCTTTCTTGGAGAACAAAGTACAGTTTCCTTTTGTATGCTGAATAAACAAACATTGTGTGGGAATTGGTCCTAACAGAAATCCTTTTTTTTTTAAATATCTAAGTCACTTTTTTTTTTTATCAGAACACTGACCCTTGGGAATGCCTGTGACCGTGAAACTCAAGAACTACAGACGTATTCATGGTGGGAACAGATAATTATTGCAATAACATCAGGGATGGTTCTGCAGTTAAAATTAAGCACGGAAGTGTCTGAAAACTGTCAGCCTTCCTAGTGCCAGAATTCAATATGAATTTGGTGTTTAGTATAGTTTAGGTTAGGAATGATCCTATCATTTCTCCTTTAATTAAATGAGAAGTCTGCCATTAGGCGCTGTTTGCCATAACTCATGTTTTGGGCTGAGTTTGTCCTGCCTGGTAAATGGGAACAGTGGAGAGAAACAGGGGAGAGAGACAAAGAGAAGACTCTGAAGTATCTCTATTTGCTGCTTATCTGTCTCCAGGTACCGGCTCACGGAAAGTTTTCACACTGACAGTGTCTTTCAGCAATTCTGTCCCAGCTGTTGGATGCTCAGT